TGAAGGCGGGAGGAGACGGGGATGACAGAGGATGAGATGGTTGGATGGCATCACCAACTTGATGGACATGAGTTTGAGCAAGCTTCAGGAGTTGGTGATGGACAGCGAGGCCTGGAGTGCTGCAGTCCATGGGGCTGCAAAGAGTCGGACACGACTGAGCGACTGGACTAAACTGAACTAAGAGATTAGTGTCTGGACTCCTAAAAGTCAATATTTTAAAGATTTACAAACCAATACAAAAATGGGTTAAAAAACAGACAAATTAGAAGCCCGCTTGACCAATAATGCTATATCTCACTAATAATTATATAATGTTACATGCAGGTAGACGTAAGAGATGTGGATTCAATCCCTGGGTCGGCAAGATCTTCTAGAGGAGGGAATGGCAACCCACTCCAGTATTCTTGCCTGGAGAATCCATGGACAGAGGAGCCTGGTGGGCTACAGTCCATGGGGTCGCAAAGAGTCAGACACGACTGAAGTGACTTAGCACACATACATGCACATCTCACTAATGCTCGATATCACTAATTATTCATGAAATCCCAAGTAAAAGCAGTAAGACAACGCTTCATACCCCATCAAGTGGGCAATCCTTTAATTCTGATAATAAGTCTTGACAAGGATATGGCAAAAGAGTAACACTTACTTGTAAGTTTTTATTTTAGTGAGGCAGGAGAGAGAATGGAATGACAACATCAAACTGAGAGGTTCAAGACTTTCCCCAGTGTCTAACAGGGACTCTCAGTAAGGAACTTTTTGTGAGTATCTAACTCTGGACAATGTTTAGGTCTCTTATAAGATATTTAGACTTAAAAGGAACATACTGATGTCATACATCTTCCTTTTGGATCTGAGGCACAGCCAATAAGGTCTCAAAAAAAAAAAATTAAGGTTTTCTGTTAATGGTACTGGCTAAAACAGCCAATTAAAATATATAACCAAAAACAAAGAGTTTCCCCCAAGTAAAAGTATCAAATCTTTCTTTTAAAACTTCAACAACACTAACAGGACATATTTTGATTCTTGTAAGATTCACATTTTTACATTAAAGCTAAAATTTTCTTTTGTTACTATTAGCTTAATTGGGGCATATGTAAATGGAATGCAAACAGAATTTCAATTGATATGTGTCATACCATACGTATCTAATCTTTTATAAATGTTGGAATTCGGTGATACTATTATAAAATCTACAGATTCTACAGAATTTTTTACTATATTTTATACTAATATTTTATACTGTTATAAAATATACAGATTCCGTCTACAGAACATAAGCCTACAAAAACTATCCCAACTAACCACTCTGGACAAAGCTCAAAAGTAAAAATATTTCTCAGCTATGTCTCTTAATGCTATAACCATACAATATTTTTAAATTAATTTGGTTATATTTTTAACACACCTGTTTAATCAGTTTTATAGACATTACACTACTGTGAGCGATATCCACTTTATCGTCAAGTCCTCCTTATAAACAATAAGAAGTAGGCTGCTGCTGCTACTGCTGCTAAGTTGCTTCAGTCGTGTCCGACTCTGTGCAACCCCATAGACCATAGTCCACCAAGCTCCCCCGTCCCTGGGATTCTCCAGGCAAGAATACTGGAGTGGGTTGCCATTTCCTTCTCCAGCGCATGAAAGTGAAAAGTGAAAGCGAAGTTGCTCAGTCATGTCCGACTCTTAGCGACCCCATGGACCTCAGCCCACCAGGCTCCTCCGTCCATGGGATTTTCAAGGCAAGAGGACTGGAGTGGGGTGCCATTGCCTTCTTCTAAGAAGTAGGCTAGAGTTTGTGAATTCTGATTCTGGGCAAAGGCAAGCCAGTCATGCAACTATAAAAGCTATCTATAATGATCCAACAATTTGCAATTTGTTAGAATACTCTCTTTACTATCACTGTATTTCACCTATTGGGCTTGCCCTATAACTACAGGGTAAAAGCAGGCAGATATTTAACACTATTTTTTTTTCCCCAGGCAGTGAATAAACACAGTTGTCAAAATACCTTTTAAACATAAACTAAATGTACAATGAGCTTCCCAAGTGGCTCAGTGGTAAAGAATCCACCTGCTAACGCAGAACACCCAGGTTAGGCTCCGAGGTCTGGAAGATCCCCTGGAGAAGAAAATGGCAACCCACTCCAATATTCTTGCCTAGGAAATCCCATGCACAGAGGAGCCTGGAAGGCTATAATCCCTGGGGCTGCAAAAGAGTCGGACGTAACTTATTGACTAAATGACAAAATTTACAATAGCACAGAAGAGCTACAATAAGACTATGGTTATCAAGAGTTAATGAAACTCTTCAAAACAAGCTTACTAAGCAGAAAGGTTCTTCAGTGAAAAAGGATGGACAGACTCTTTATGCTGAATGGAAGAAAGGCTGCCAGCTCAAAATCGCTGGTAATCAGAGAAATGCAAATTAAAACAAGATAATTCTTTGGTGCATCAGATTGGCAGAAGTTTAAAAGACTGATAATATCCAGGACTGGCAAGGGTGTAGGAAATTCTTATACCCATTAGTACAGTTTTTTAGAAAGGTAATTTAGTGCATCTAAGAAAATTTTAGATATAAATACCCATGCACTCATTTATTACACTTCCAAACCTCTATCCTAGCAAAATAACTGGCTTTAGATAAGAAACCAAAATATCTGAATATTTATTAATAGAATATGACTAATAAACTGTGGTCATTCATGTTACAGAATACCAAGCAAGGCTGCGGAAAGATCTCTAAGACATAATGCTAATATGAGGAGATGGGGGAATCAAATGTAAATACAATAGTGGATACCTTTCTTTCATAGTGCCCAAAGTTTTTGAAACCACTGTTCCCACACTATGATCCTACCTTCCCAAAGTAGACCAAAACAACAAAAATAACAATAACAACGACTGTATTATCCAGCCTCCCTCACAGCCAGGTAAGTCGCTACAGTATCAATATACAGCTCATCACTGTGTGATCTCAGCTCAGTGGCTCAGTCCTGTCTGACTCTTTGTGACCCCATGGACTGCAACATGCTAGGCCTCCCTGTCCATCACCATCTCTCAGAGCTTGCTCAAACTCATATCCATTGAGTTGGTGATGCCATCCAACCATCTCATCCTCTGTCATCCCCTTCTCCTTCTGCCTTCAATCTTTCCCAGCATCAGGGTCTTTTCCAATGAGTCAGCTCTTCGCATCAGGTGGCCAAAGTATTGGAGTTTCAGCTTCAGCATCAGTGCTTCCAATGAATATTTGGGACTGATTTCCTTGAATATCTGGTTTGATATTCACACCTGGTTTCAATTTCCTGCAATTCAAAAGCATCAATTCTTCACCGGTCAGGTTTCTTTATGGTCCAACTCTCATATCCATACATGACTACTGGAAAAACCACAGCTTTGACTAGACGGACCTTCGTCGGCAAAGTAATGTCTCTGCTTTTTAACATGCTGTCTAACTTTGTCATAGCTTTTCTAGACTGTGTGGTCTAGAGTCTGTCAATTAGAAAAATCCAGGTGATAGATTTGAGGAAACAGTTTCGCAAAGGGTATCTCTTTGACCAGCTTGGGCACATAGAGGCAGACTGTTTTAAGACCACAGGAGCTTCTTGGTCACAGACAAGGTTCTGTGCTTTTCTCTGGCAGTCAGTGGCTGCCATCAATCTTTTATCATGGCAGTTCCACAAGGCACTTCTGGGTTTTATTGCTGAAACAGTCTGGAAACTGCTTCTCCAGGCTGCGATACTCTCAACATCTCATCCCTTCATAAATTCCTTTCTGGATAAATTAGCTAGAACGGGTTTCATTATAAAAATTAAGAAACCTTTCATATACATAATGATAACCACTTATGAACTTTACAAGTTCATAAATGTGTGAACTAAAAAGCACTAGATATTTAGAAAAGGATCTGAAGACTATGAGAGCACATAACAACCTGATGCTGAACCCTAAAGAAGAAACATGTACAGGTGACAAAAAGGGTACAAGAAAGCTTTTTCCTTTCTCCTCTACATACCTCTTTTCTGTTTAAATATTTTTACAATGACAAATAGTTGTACAATACTGAGTTTTTAAAAATAATTTAAAATCTTTGAAAAACTTAAAAATTGGTACATCTTTCCCAGAGATGCCTGGTATCCTAGTTGAGAGTAACATTTTTATGGCAGAACAAACTGAAAATATTCTGTGGTACATATATACACAACTTCATGTATTCTCACTTACATAACATAAAAACCTTATATTGGAGCATGGAAGGATTTTTTTAAGCATGACTCCAGAGGTAGAAGAGAAAGATAATAATATGCAACTATAATACACAAATATAACTTCTGAAACTTTAAAGTTAAAAGATGAAGGACAACTATCTGAGGCATATAAGGCAAATAACAGATTAATACTTTCAATATATATTCTTACATATCAATAAGAATGGACATTTTAATTTAAAAATGGGCAAAGAGCATTAGCAAAAACTGGACAAGCTAAATATCCACAGTAAAAAAATTAAACAAAAACATTCAAAAATCCATAGTATGTCATGATATTGCAAAACCATGCAGGCATAGCAAACTAAAATGCAGAGCCTTGTCTATTAGCATGAAAAGATGTTCTAGTTTACAATTCAGTAAAAATGGCAGGTAACCAAGTGACAAATTTCTATTAGTATTAAATATAGGTTCATTGTATGTGTACATAAATATATATGCACAAATATTTGTACATATATCTCAACAAACACATAGCACATATTCTAGAAGAACAGGTCTGAAATATCATGTCAAATGCTAATAGCAGGTAGTTCAGAATAACAAAATACAATCACAAGTAATTTTCACTTTCTTTTTCATACGTTGTCAATAGTCTGAGCCCTTTATGAAAGAATATATATAGGTTTTATAAGTAACAGTAAGAAATATTTTCATTCTTTAAACAAATAAAAAGCAATAAAGATAACTTTATTAAATATCCTATAATTTTAATCATATATTACTACTTTCTTACCTTTAAACCTTCAGCTGGAAGTCTATAACCAAACCTTGCTGGAAGGTCATCAAATGTCTGAGATGCATTTTCAAAATTATACTAAATATAAAATTAAAAACAATCAAGTTACAACCAATGTACACATAACATTAAAAACAAAAAGGTTGTTAAATTATTTAAATTGTCATTTCCACGATTCTGATTTACTATCACAGCTTATCACAATAATTCAACTTTGTAAATGCATATCCACTAAGAAAGGAATATACTGACAAAATTTACTACATATACATATACTGTTTCAATTGGATTCTGATTTCATATAATTATTATTAAACAGAAGCAATAATTCTGTAACATTTAACTATCTACTGTCTTCCTGAGTTTTTCCCCAAAGACAATTCCCTAGCAAGAAATTTTCTAGACAGATTATTTTCCAGCAAGAATTCCATTTTATTTTCTCTATATTATAAGGGTCTAGATATAAAGGAAGAGATTTACTGGATTTCTGGATCTAGCTTTGAAAGATGCCTTTTCCCCAAAGAAAGAAGAAGTATCAAACCATCCTTTTAAGACTGCCATTTTTTTTAAGTAATCTGAACATTTTTATCCAGGACTGAAAATGAAAGATCTAAACTCAATGAAATACATACATAGAGAGCTGAAGGTACTCAATCTCTTTAATAACTCCCCCCCTTCCATACAGAAACAGATTCCTATGCTACAGTATTTCAGTCCTCCACCAAAACAGAACAAGAATCTGCTATACTTTTATAATGGAGGGTAACAGTAATGGTAACTGCTACTGCAGGTATGATAAGTGAGCTTACTGCATTATTTAAGATGCTGTATTCAGTATGCTTTAAGGAAAACAAAAAAAAACGAGGAAGGCATGGAACTAAACAAACATGGTAAACAAGTAACTTCTGAAACACAGGTGAAATGTACACAGTGAGACAGAAGTTAAGGAAGCCGTCAGTAAACTGCAGGCCAAAGATAGAAAAAGCTGAACACAACTAGTTTGAATACAGATTAAAAGGATGGAGCAAAGCAAGAGTGCTATGTACAGACAGCGCAAGACAGAAGGATGATGCAAATCTTAAATATTCACAACATGGATTAGGTCACACATCCAGACTGCTGTCTTTACATCAAACACCCACTGGGGATCCTCATGCCAGCCTCATGTGTCATTTGCCAGAGACAGGTGGATCAACAGCTCTGCAGGTTAACGGCAAATTACAGCTGTGTTCAGATGTAAATACCTCAGGTCTCTCCAACACCGCAAGCAAACACTGGATCCAGACACTTTCCATCTGTTGAGTCCCCTTGTTCATCCTAAACTACACTGTAAACATACTGTCACCAGGGAAAGTGGATGCAGCACAGAGACTTCTTAGTGTTTAGTCGCTAAGTGGTGTCAGACGCTTTGTGACCCCATGGCCTGCAACCCGTCCGGCTCCTTCCGCCCGTGGGACTTCCCAGGAAAGAATACAGGAATGGGTTGCCACTTCCTTCTCGAGGGGATCTTCCCAACCCAGGGATCAAAGCCTCGTCTCCTGCATGAGCAGGCGGGTTCTTCACCACTGAGCCGTCAGGGAAGCCCAGCATAGGGACTGAAGAAGCTAACAACAGGAAACACAGGATTCGGGCGGTGTGGCTCTTCGCCCTATCCTAAGTGTATTAACATACCCATCTTTCATCTGTGCTTCTCACTGTGTGTTTGTAATAAATTCAATAAACTGTAACTCAAGTATCCAAATTTGATCACTGAAGCTATCCTTTGGGATATTCAGCCTGGAAGTATACTTGAAAGCCAGCAATGCTTCAGAGTAAATTCTTATTTTAAAAACAATTCATATTTGCAGAGTGCTTTATGGTTTACAATGGAGAAAGAAATTGGAACCCACTCCAGTACTCTTGCCTGGAAAATCCCATGGACCGAGGAGCCTGATAAGACTATAGTCCATGGGGTTGCAAAGAGTCAGACACGACTGAGCAACTTCCCTTTATGGTTTTCAAAGTGCTTTAGTCAACAAAGTGCTTTTACCTCCATTATCACAATGTATCATTTAATCTCTTAATTAAAACATCCTCCTTTAATTGATTTGATTAAATTATGATCACCTTTGAGCTTGAGACAGTCATTTAACTCCTCCAAGGCCAAAGACACTACCATAAAATAAGGAAACAGATCTAGATCAATACAAAGAAAAAGATAGATGTGTACAGGCAATACTTTTACTAAAATGTACTTTTAAGATTAGGAAATGAAAAATCTACAGCTGTGCTAAAGTACTCTTTTATAACTTCCTATTACTGAGGAGTTTCATGCTTTTGGCTAGAATTTCAGAAATAAAATATCTAGCTTGAACTATAGTACTTGTAACACTGGGACTTGGAATCCAAGTTTTGTTAGTGAGTGAGACTCATTTTGAAATTGCTTTGCCTTTTGTCAGGAAAGCAAATGTTACTTTGCTCACAATGCTTTTTACAATCACATTGTTTAAAAAAAAAAAAGTTTCTATACTGAACAAGACAAACGGAAACTCTTTAGTACAAAAGTGCTTCACTTTCGCAAAGTAAGGGAGGGCGAGGGGGCCACTAAGCTCGTGAAATCAGAGCACACTCACTGTTATACCAGAAATAAAATCATTCCTCTCTGGAATCTCAGGCTCAGCGATCATCGTGCTTTAGTTTTAATCTACTTATTTTGAAAAAGTCTCTTCCTAACTAGTTATCCTTGACAGCAGCCCTAACAGAAATTCAATTCAATCCTGTTGTTCACTCGCCAAGTTGTGTCTGACTCTTTGCGCCTCGATTGCAGCACGTAAGGCTCCTCTGTCCTCCACTATCTCCCAGAGTTTGCTCAAATTCACATCCACTGAGTCAGTGATGCTATCTAACCACCTCATCCTCTGCTACTCCTTTCTCCTTTTGCTTTCAATCTTTCCCAGCATCAGGGTCTTTTAATTCAATTTAAAAAGTAACAAATGGCTAACAATTATGGAACATTTAGACATCATACTAAACATTTATTCAGGTATTCACTTATTTAATCTTTATGACAATACTATAAGTCATCAATTATTATCATCATTCTAATTTTACAGACTGACTATAGAATAAAATACCCTGCTTGAAAATAACTTGCTCCAGTAAATGAGAAGAACCAGGATTCTAATCCAGGCAGTCTTCTCCAACACCACAGTTCAAAAGCATCAATTTTTTTGCGTTCAGCTTTCTTCACCGTCCAACTCCCACATCCATACATGACCACTGGAAAAACCATAGCCTTGACTAGACAGACCTTTGTTGGCAAAGTAATGTCTCTGCTTTTTAATATGCTGTCGAGAGGTTGGTCATAGCTTTCCTTCCAAGAAGTAGCGTCTTTTAATTTCATGGCTGCAATCACCATCTGCAGTGATTTTGGAACCCCAAAAATAAATTCAGCCACTGTTTCCACTGTTTCCCCATCTATCTGCCATGAAGTGATGGGACCAGATGCCATGATCTTAGTTTTCTGAATGTTGAGCTTTAAGCCAACTTTTTCACCCTCCTCTTTCACTTTCATCAAGAGGCTCTTTTAATTCCTCTCCACTTTCTGCCATAAGGGTGGTGTCATCTGCATATCTGAGGTTTTTGATATTTCTCCCGGCAATCTTGATCCCAGCTTGTGCTTCCTCCAGCCCAGCGTTTCTCATGATGTACTCTGCGTGTAAGTTAAATAAGCAGGGTGACAGTATACAGCCTTGACGTACTCCTTTTCCTATTTGGAACCAGTCTGTTGTTCCATGTCCAGTTCTAACTGATGCTTCCTGACCTGCACACAGGTTTCTCAAGAGGCAGGTGTGACTCTTACCAGGTACCAGAAACAAAGGCGAGTAGGACAGAGCCCTGTCTCCGAGGCGCCCGTGGCCCAGGGGACTCACTGACCAGTCAGCGACCCACTCTACAGTAGTGTCTCCATATCCTGTGTGTCAGTCCCAGTCGTGCCCAACCTTCGCAACCCCGTGGGCTGTAGCTTGCCAGGCTCCTCTGTCTACGGGACTTCTCAGGCAGGAATACTGACGTGGGTTGCCATTTCCTTCTCCTGGGGACCCTCCTGACCTCAGCTTGAACCCGCGTCTCCTCTGTCTCCTGCACCGCAGGCATATTCTTTACCCACTGAGCCATCGGGAAAGCCCCCATGTCCTCTAAGAACTCACCAACTAGCTGGAAAAAACTGCTGCCAGCAAATTAACAGTCAAGCGGGAGAGTTTAACTGCCAAAAACAAAATCATCTGGCATACAAACAGCATCACTTAACACTGGCTACAGCTTTTCAAAAGCAACATCCTAATACCTGTCCAAAATGGAGCCAGAATCAACCTGATTTCCAACTTACTTAAATTTTATTATTACAAATTCAGATTACAGTGATGTTGTTATTCAATTAAAAGAAAAAGCTAATGTTTTCTACCTTTTAACTCACTTCCTCTGAACAACTGTGCTACCACATCTGGTTCTTCTGCCTCAATTTTTAGTTCCTCTTTTCCCCCAGACACATGACCCCACAACCGACTCCCCACCAAGCTACCTCTGCATTCCTGTCAGCCTCTATCGTTAATGTCAATATAAAGACCAGATTTAAGTAGCTCTCATGCTGAATAGTTCCTTCACTAGAAGACATCAACCTACATTCCACACTAACCTGCCTGAGGCACAGGCAGCAAGGTTGGCAAGGACTGATTGTTCTTCTATCTCTGACATTTTGTGCTGTATCTAAATTAAAAAATACTACTGAAGAGACTCCTGTGGGGGTCCAGCGGTTAAGAATCCGTGCTCCCAATGCAGGGGGCACAGGTTCGATCCCTGGTTGGGAAACTAGATCCCATATACTGCAATGAAAGCTCCCTCCTACACATGGCAATGAAGACTTGGCATAGCTAAATAAATAAATATTCTTTTAAAAAAATACAATTTAAACAGTCACATAAGACCAAGGGAGTGAGTGAAAGATGATGAGAATGATAATTATAGTGAAGATAAAAAGATAAAACATTTACTATGTGTAGATACTAAACAGTTTACCTTATTTAATCATTATAGCACTCCAGTTAAAAAATTAAAAATGGGGGGGACCGGGATGGGGAATACATGTAAATCCATGGCTAATTCATTTCAATGTATGACAAAAACCACTGCAATGTTGTATGGTGATTAGCCTCCAACTAATGAAAATAAATGGAAAAAAAAAAAAATTAAAAATGGAGGCATTTATAATGACTAAGTATTTTGATCCACATCACATAGCCAGTCAAATTCCCAGAGCAATCCACTGAAAATCATTTCACCCTTCACATAGCTGAACCATAGAATAGGTGAACATTCACTTCAGGTTAAGAAAAAAAAAAAAAGAATCTGCCTACAATGCAGGAGACCCCAGTTTGAAGTCTGGGTTGGGAAGATCCCCTGGGGAAGAATCCCTGGCAAACCACTCCAGTATTCTTTTCTGGAGAATCCCGTGGACTAAGGAATCTGGTGGGCTACAGCCCATGGGGTCACAAAGAGTCGGACACCCCTGAGCAATTAGCACTTCTACCGCAGATGAAAAGGAAAGAAAGATAAGGAACCATCAGAGGGTAAAAAAGGTATGGAAACCAGCCTGGCTCTCTAAAGTTCTAGTGATTCTAGGCCCTTCCACAAGGGCCACAGGATGAAGAAGCATGGCTGAGGACCACGATAAACTTTGGTCAGCAACAATTTTGGCCCTTCTCTTTCTTACCCAATATTAATAAGCAAATCACTTGCACCCAGAAAGAAAAACCAATAAATCCTTAGCACAGTACCAAGCGCAGAGGTGCACCTACTCACACATGACAGGTGCAGATACCGTTATCTCTTCTTTTCCTAACTTCACAGAAATGAGAAATAGCAAGCACATACACTTCCTAGTACAGAGGACAGTAAGACAGTAGCTCAGAGAGGACTAGAAGGTTTTGATGAGCAGCCTTCTTCTCTAAAAATTTTTCTACCCACCAATGAAGATAAAATCATTAGGCTTCTCCTCATTAAGTTAAAAATGTTTATGGCTGTTTGTACAATTTCTTAAAATATCACTATCACAGTCATTACAGCTACACTAGTGACCAAGAAAAAACAGTAAAATTCTATGAAAACACACAGCATGTAAATCAGTGTGGGCACCCGCACTCAAAAGAGAGCACCAACACTCTCACGAGCAACATTTATCAGGTACTTATTGTACATGGGATCTTATGTTAGAGATCAACCAACTAAGAAACCAGCGCTTACACTCTCAAGTAACAAATATGCATATGAACTTATGTGTTTGTAGGTAAACACTTTGTGAGGTTCCATTATTTCATTATTCACTCTTATCATTCAGAACTTAAAAAAAAAAAAGACTTTTCTTTAAGGGATGTTTTTAGACATGAATAAATTTCACTGTTTAAATTTACTTACTGCTAAAATGTCTGCTTCTACAGGCAGGAGGTTTAAGAATGCAAAGAGCTGGACAGTCAAGATGGTGTAGACTTGCGTGGCCGAGAGCATGAGCATCCCTATGGAGAGCAGCATCTCGCTGTAAAATCACCTGGAAGACAAGCAGAGGAGTAACAGTAAGTTGTGGGGCTTTGTCTCTGAAAGTAAGTTACACGACAGAGTCATTCCTGATGTCTCAAAATATCTTTTAAATTATAAACATGGATCAACATTAAAATGAAACTAGTATTTCAAAGCGTAACTGTTTACACAGATTCAGACGTTTAAGTAAGCACCCAGTGTTAGTCAATACCTACATAACTCGTGGTTACTAAGTTCTATGTTTTAGCTCCATAATAAAGATCCTCTCACAATTCTCAGTTTATAATGTGTGTTAGTTGATCAGTCGTGTCTGACTCTTTGTGACCCCATGTACTGTAGCCTGCCAGGCTCCGCCATCCTTGGGATTTCCCAGGCAAGAATACTGGAGTGGGTATAGTACCGCCTGTCTACTAACTTAATTGTGGGAGAAACTAGACTTCAATCAAAATAATGATTTAAAAATGCACACGTACCTTTGACTTAATGCATTTTTTTACAATCTTAAAGAATTATGGTAATTTTAAAATATAATTTGTAAATGTACATTTTATTTATCTTCGAATATTATGCCCCACATTAGAGAATTTTTTAAAAAAAGATAGCCATTTATTATAAAGTAATACTTTTTGCCCTTTCCCTCCTAACAATACACACACACCTCTTTGTCCTTCTATCTCCCAATGGCAATAGTGTAGCTACCTCTCCTAACCTCATCCAATTTTCTACATGAATCTTTATCTTACAGCAAAAAGATTCCATGAAAGAACCAAATGGTAACCAAGTATCAAAATTCTCACTGGGAAGCCTCAACCAACAGTGTAAGTTACTTTTTAAATGCTGAGAATGAAGTTTGCAAAGACAAGAGCCTATATAATGAATTATTTCTTTAAATATCACAAATTCATATAATAACAATTCTGATGACGACTGCTGTTTGTAAGGCTTCAGACTTAGAGACTACCAGACAGACTCAAACTCTGACTCTTTCAAACACGCTGAAAGAGAAATATCCTTTAATAATTTCTGAACCACTGTCTTGCAAAAGCCATTAATACCAGAAATTATATAAAGGTAAAATTACGTTAAATGTGTAGATTTGTTCAACAAAGACAAAAATAAATTAGTGGTTGCCTGGGGATGGGCTAAGAGGGAGACGGGGGACAGACAGGAATGGACGTGACTGCTCACGGAAATGGGGTTTCCTTTCAGGACGATGAACATGCTCTAAAATTCAGACTGTGCTGATGATTGCACAACTCTGTAAATTTACTAAAAAGAACTGCAGTTTTCACTTTAAATGGGTAAATTTTATGGTGCATTATATAATTCAGTAAAGCTGTTTTCAAGGTTTATAGATTAATTGATATGAATGTCTTAGGTAGAATACATTTTCAGAATATATCTCTGTTGAGAAGAGTTAAACACAGCGGGCAGAGACTGCTATCCTTAGAACGACCTGCTTGCAAGGCTGGCCAGTCGTTGGCATCTGACAGCTTAGATTTCAGGAGGATTGCTTTCAGTCCCTGATGAGAACAGCTCATTCTGTCTACATGCTGCAAACAACGTGGTTTACGCTGGACACCTGCTTCCCTTCTGGGAGTCTGAGAATCTGGTCCATGTGGGTGGAAGGTGCCTACCTGAACAGTCCTCATTCAGTACAAACCCTGGGCACTGAATCTCTAATCAGCTTCCCGGGTAGACATTCCCCATGTATCATCCTAACTCACTGCTGAGAGACTAAGCAAACCACCTGTGACTCCAGAGACTCTCATAAGCTCACACCTGGTTTCCTCTGGACTTCCACTCCATGCACCCCTCCCCTTCGCTGATTCTGCTCTGCACCCTTTCACTGTAATAAATCAGGATCACAAGTAATCACACGCTGAGTCCTGTAAGCCCATTAAGATGGTGAGGCAGTGAACTTGGGGACCCCCGTCATAACCACAGTATACCATTTCTGGGCAGAAATCACACCATAAAAACATAAAAATCCTTATAAAATAAAGTGCGCTGGTGACTAAATTTTACTAGAAGGAATTAGTACACAATATACTGACCACGGACCTATTTAGGAAAGTTACTCTGAATAAGAAGTATGACTTTGCTTGTCAAGTTTTGGAATTCTCAGCTAACTTTAGGGGAGGGAGAGGAAGACAGAGTTTAGAGGGAAAATAACTCTAATGATAGGAATAATAATAATCCCAACAACTATAACTGACCACTTACTAAGTGCCAGGCATTGCTCTAGGCATGTTATTGAATTTAACTCATCTAACCCTAACAACACACTCTAAGGTGTCATTTCATAGCTGGGAAAACTCAGGCCCTGTTAAGTAACTTGTCCAAGATCAAACAATGAGTAATAGTAGAGCCAGTATCCAATCCCAGGTACTCTGCCTCTGAGATCTACATGCTAAAGCCCAACTGAAAATAGCATCAGTACCCAAGGCCAGTGTCCCAGAGGTTGCGGAATGGACCTATGCTCAAACAGGCACTCAAGGACTTCAGTCCAATGCTCATGGCACCTGCTTCTTTTGCTGTGTGTGTGTGTCTGTGTGTATTTTTAATAACATCAAGTAGGTTTTGGCTATACATTTTTGCTTTTATTGCCTTTTTCAAAGTAACAGATTCAAGAGTTTCTAAAGTCTATTTACAAAGCTAATTCTATTTTTTTTTTTCAAGAAGAAATAGGTAACTTTAATTGCTTTATATCTATTTTTTAAATGGAATTTGTAGTTAAGAAACTTCCCACAAAGACTCACAGACCTGATGGCATGAAAGGTAAATTCTGCCAAACATTTGAAGAAGAAATATCAATTTTACACAAATTTCTTCCAGAAAATTGCAGAAGGAATATGCACAATTTATTTTATGAGGCCAACATTACTCTGATACCAAAACCAGGCAAAGATATACAATAAAAGCAATAGACCGATATATCCTGCATGAACATGAATGTAACAATTTAGAACACAATTTTAGCAAAATTAAAAAAATAATATAAAGGCAATAAGAGGGACAATACTCCATGACCAGGTGGAGATTATCTGAGCAGTGCAAGTTTGGTTTAATATTTGAAATACATCCCAGTGAAATTTACCATTTCAATAGACAAGAAGAAAAAATAAATGTAAGATCTTTCAATAAATATAAAGAACACATTAAAGTCCAACATCCTTACTTCGAATCATGGCAAACCAGAAATGAAAGCGAACTTGCTTGACCTGATTAAAGCCTTCTACAGAAAGCTAGCAGCATCATACTTAATGAGGAAAAATTAAATGTCATCCTTTCCTGCCTCTACCGTAAGGTTGAGAACAGGCCCAGAATGTCTGCTCTCACTGCTTCTATTCTTTTTTTTTTTTTTTTTTTTAATTCTTTTTTTTTTAATTAATTAATTTATTTTTTTTTATCACAACCATAGTGTATCTTTTTTTTTTTTTTTTACATGTATTCCCCATCCCGGTCCCCCCTCCCACCTCCCTCTCCACCCAATCCCTCTGGGTCTTCCCAGTGCACCAGGCCCGAGCACTTGTCTCATGCACCCAACCTGGGCTGGTGATCTGTTTCACCTTAGATAATATACGTGTTTCAATGCTGTTCTCTTGAAACATCCCACCCTCGCCTTCTCCCAGAGTCCACAAGTCTGTTCTATACATAGGAGTCTCTTTTTCTGTTTTGCACATAGGGTTATCGTTACCATCTTTCTAAATTCCATATATATGTGTTAGTATACTGTATTGGTCTTTATCTTTCTGGCTTACTTCGCTCTGTATGATGGGCTCCAGTTTCATCCATCTCATTAGAACTGATTCAAATGAATTCTTTTTAATGGCTGAGTATACAAAGCTAATTCTAATTTCATTGTGGAAAATGAGAGAAAAATTGAAATCATTCATAATCACCAAGTAAAAGAATAACCAGTGTCTATATTTTGAGGTATAACCTTCCAGTCTTTTAGCTATATGCAAATTTAAATATACATATTTAACAAAACTGGAATACACTATACATGTTTTGCTAACTATTATTTTCATTTACTACCTTGTGAATATTTTCCTAAGCCATCACTACGTTCAAACACAGTTTAAGTCACAAACCCTGTACCATGACACCCCTCACGAGGCCCTCGAGGGCTCCTACCCGTTTCACAGATTTTAAAATCGTTTCGTATATTGGTTCCACATATCTGACTGATATATAAAATGAAAACTACTGGTCTAAAACATGGTGTATAACGACCACAAGATACCTGTGCACATATTCTTTAATAGATTTAATGGAATCCCCATTACTGGAGGTTGAATTAGCTTCTTGCTGTAAACTTTTTATTTTGTATTGGAGCATAGCTGGTGAACAACACTGTGATAGTTTCCGGTGGACAGCAAAGTGATTCACTTATACACACACATGTATCTCTTCTTTTTCAAATTCTTCTCCCATTTAGAATGTTACAGAATATCGGGCAAAGCTCCCTGTGCTATTCAGTCAGTCCTTGTTGGTCATCCATTTTAAATATAGCAGAGTATACGTGTCAATCCCAAACTTCCTAACTATCCCTCCTCCCTACCCTTCCTCCAGTAACCGTACCTATGTTCTCTAAGTCTGAGTCTGTTTTGTAAATAAGTTCATTTGTTTTTTTTTTTTTTTTAGATTCTACATATAAGCAATACGATCTCCTTCTCTGTCTGACTGACTTCACTGCATATGACCATGTCTGGGTCCATCCATGTTCTGCAAATGGCATTATTTCATTCTTTTTAATAGCTGAGCAATAACCACTGTATCTACATATACCACACCTTATTTACCCATTCACTTGGCAATGGACACTGAGGCTGCTTCCACGTCTTGTTCTTTGTCCATTTTTAACTGGCTGGGTAGTGGCTGTTCAGCTCTAAAAGTTCTTTATATATTCTGCATATACTTCCCTTGTAAGATACATGATTGAAAAACATTTTCAGCAATTCCATGGGTTTTCTTTTCACTCTTCC